TCTCGGTTTGAGTTTTAATGTGATGCTGCTTTTGAGTGGCCGATTTGTACGTATTTAAACAAGTTAAATTGTCTTGACTTGCTCACCATAACATAGCTCTGCAGCGGCCTGCTACAACCTCTTTTACATGGGGGGTGGCTCTTTTGAACACTCCTACCTTTACGTAAACCTGCTTGGCTTCCGTGATTGGACCAGACCAGGCAAATTTTAACGAGATTTGATCATAGGCACCTTCAGAACTGCTGTATATTACGGTGTTTACTTGGCCTTGTCCCCTTTTCACATGTCTGTTTTTATTGTCGCAGTCTTTGTTTACACGCATCATCCTTTTTGTGTTTAGTTAGTCCTTCCCCCGCACCTCCAATTAATACTGTTGGCTACGTACAGTTGCAAAGAAGTTCTGCATGCATATGTAAGGGCAGTGCGGGGTGATGTAGGGACAGTACGGCTTCCCGTGGCCATTGTTACTGATTAACATAACGAACAGACAAGGTCACGTTAGGGTAATGTGGGACCTAAGTGGTTGCTACTAATGATTGATGCAACAAGCATTGACGTGTGAGGGGAAGCACGGGAACTAACAGTCGTAAATTTTAATAAGGGCAAAGACAGACAGGGCCAGGTGCGGTGAGAGAGAGTTCGGGAATAGGGGCGTGGCCGGGTCGTGAGGGGGATAAGAGCCGGCACGAACCGGGGCTCTGGGCTGCTGTTGTGGGGGAACTCCCGTCGCTGTCGTCACCATGGAGCGGATCGTCTTTATCATCATGGAGTATGCACCTTGTAGTCTTGGAAGGCTAGAGTTATGTTGTCTCGGAATTGAATTATCTAAGTTTCCCAAGTGTATATAGTCACTTGCGGTCACTCGTTAAGTTATCAGTGAGTGTGCGAACTTTATTAATGAAAAATAGACATAACTGAACAAGACGGTGTCTGAGAGCTGCATGACACGTGTCGCGAGCGACTTCTGAGCCATGTTGTGTAGAAGGCTTCTTATTTATTGTCACTTTAAGCACAACACTGGGCGATACATCTATGTAACGTTTCTACGTAGCTACACATAGCCGACCCTTCTACACAACCCCATCGTCGGCGTCCAACTACACAGCTGTCTGACTAGCGCAGTGACGGTGAAGATGAGAGCCTTGCAGAAGATCGGCCACGTGGCCGGACGACGAAGAGAGATGACTGCGAGCACGCAGCCAGGACCCGCAACAGCACCGAACCTCTGGTTCGGGGCCCCCCTTATATACACTCCGGTGCGACCAAGCCCCACCTCCGGCCACGCCTCCTTCCAGAACCTTCGAGCAGGTTCCCGGAGCTTCCCGATTGATTCCGCCTTTCACCTTTACCCCAGATATGCCTCCCTCATGATTAGACATTACGTAACGTGCCCATAACAGCGATTACCCCTTCAGGCCGACAGGTGGCACCCGGTCATTACACATGCATACATCCATTGTCCATTGATTTTTGGTGGTGCTAACGAGATCTGAAACTTTTCTCGGTGATGGTGGTGGATTTTAAATATCACTAACTGGTCCTCATGCAGGCGAAAGGGCACGTAATTGTTACGACAACCATTGTTACCGGACCGAACCTCCCACCATGTTAAGCACCGTAGTCGTTCTTCGCGAACCGATTTAAAGATGAGCATCTTTACTGACAGACACCTGGGGTAAAATATAATTTTAGAAAATGGCGAGTAAAATTGCACAATGCGAAGCAAAGAAGAGCGAGCGTGTATTAGAAGTGCCGTAAAATCAATAGCAGGACAAACAATGGTTTGCGTGCTCACTCGCCCAGGTGATGTGAGGGCAAGTGCTGTTACGTCACGCACGTACGCATTGGATTCATTGCGAGTCCTTGTCCTCGGTCCGCGCAACACCACCGGTGGCAACAGTGACTGCTCGCTTGTATCATTTTCATTTCGTCTTTGTGGCCGCTTGCCAGCGGCTCGTACATCTATCCAAATTAGGCTTTGGTGAAACGGCACGTGCGCACCTACCAATGTATTTAAACCGATGAAGAAAGCAGCTGTAATTGAGGTATTGCTCTTCACACTCGTGTAAAGAGAAATGCTGTTGTCATTGTAACTTGCGAGGTATTTTTCTGAGTTTGCTCTGTTACCATATTGTGACTTTTTTAAGTCTGGAGCTGCCAATTTTTTATTTTACCCGAAAGGCATTCTTGAGAACCAAAATTATATACATTTTTTTTAATATTCACATCACATACTGTTATAATTCAATGGAAACCAATTTGAATTTGGCCAATTCTGGAGAGAAATAAAATTGCACTGGAAATGTTTTCACTTGCACTGAAGTGCATAAGACTTGGTGGGTTTTAGTCCCTGGTAAAAAGCTAAATAGTTTTAGAGCCAGCATCCCAAGTCTGAATGTCACACGGTGTACTGTAATGGTCACGTGCAATATGCCACTCGGAAGTCTTCGCTGGGTATCCTCGACTCGCGTTACATCATGAAGCCACGTCTCGTTTTTTTTATGCTTGACCACGCAACTCCTGAGGCTGCTAAAAACCTCTTAGTTATTTGTGATTGGGCATACTCTCGGTAAACAAATTGTTGAGGAAAGGCAAACAATGCAAGTAATTGCTCTCAATTTACACCAGCGTGCATGTCGAGGTTTATAAATGGCTTGTGGTGATTTATTTTACAATGAGTGTAATATAAATAGATGGCTGTGGGCTTGGTTGTACCGAACAAATGTACCCACTGAGCTGCCGTGTGCATGTGTGCGTGTCTTTGGGGAGCGGTAATGTAGCGGTTAGCGCGCTGTGCTACGAACCCAGTGACCCGAGTTCGATTCCCGCTCACGGTTGACGCTAGTGATTATCTGAACTGGTCCTGGACCTCCCCTAGGTCGACTAAGCCTTAAATGAGTACCTATTGAGGTGTGTAAACATTGTCACTGGGGATAAAAAGGCGGCCGGGTGTGGTGCTGGCCACCCACCCCCATGTGTGCCGTGTCGGCCATCATAGGTTCTCGATAACAGAACTTGCCCCAACAGTCTTGAGGCTAGATGGGGGTGTCTTTGTTAGTGAATTGTTATGATGTTCGGTTTCTGCAGAGCGCAAGTTTCATCGTAAGTCGATGCTTCCATTGGCCTCAAATATATATTTTGGCCTAAAGTGCTGAAGCTGCAAAAATAGTCGCTTTAAGACACATAGTCACTTTAAGATGTTTTCTTGTTAATATTTTAGTTTTTTGTTTGTTGCGGTTGCACCCGATTTAAAGAGCTGAATGGCTCACAGGGCTATACCAAATAAATGGAACTATGAAAATGGAACTATGAAATACCCCCTTGGGAGGTCGTTTTTTTTTACATCCTCATTGATCACCTTGGGAGGTGGGGGGTTGTGTATATTCTAGAATATCCTACTGAGGGTAGACTATTCTAGAATATCCTACTGAGGGTAGAATAGGTACTTTTCTTTCCGATGCATTTTTCATCACGTACAAAGTTAGAATTGGTGTCAAGGTGTTTTGCGTACCATTCAATGACGCCTTTTACAATTATCGTGGCCAAAGCTAAATTTTTGACCTTTGGTATGGCCTTTTTGCCCTGAAGCCAGTAGACATGATCACCGCATGCCATTGCATTCCCCAACATACATACATTCACTGTGGTGCAGATTGTAGAAACGGTGACAAAACAAGTGCACACAGGGCTTGCGTTCGGGGCGCTGTGTGGTGGCCCTCCGCTGGCAGCGTGTCAACACATCGGAGGGTGGGGTGTCATGCTCCTACCTTCCTCGTGATGTCTGGGGGGGGGGGGGAAGCCCTCGGACCGCAAAATCTGTAACACGCACGGGATTGCGTGTGTGCGTGCGAGCACATGTGGCGGTGAGCACGTGCCACTGCGAGTCAGCCTGGCATGCGCGTCTGGCATGACGACTCGTGATCTCTGTGCGTGCGCGCGTCTGAACAAATTCACAGCAATCGGGCCTCCCTGCCGGATATAAACAGCCCTGTAGAGCCCCGGCCTCGGCTTGTGTTACACTTTCAGAGGGTCTGCATGGGAATCCTTTATTGCTTTGGCTTATTCTCAATTATTATAAAAATGAAATTAGATTTGTTGTAGGTAAAAAATGATCTTTTTTTATCATGCCATGTGGTGCTGTGGTGGAGTGCTTGACTCGAAGTTCATGGTAACTGATGATAATCACGAGTCAAACGACCTCGAGTTCAAAGTTGGTTTGGGTTAACTCAGTCCACCGTACCCCCTTGAGGATGATAAGTACTTAATGTGCTACTTTACGTGAAGTCGACTGGTTGCCCTATTGAGACAGACACACATTACAGAAACGTGGAACTTCCTGCACTGGGTCAGGGGCTACCAGTTGATTGTACAGGGAAATACGTTTGTCGATGTGGAATGTGTGGGTTAGTTGAAGGGTGACGACATCCAGTTCTGTACTGTTTGAAAGTGAGTGAATCTTCCCGTTGTCTTTTAAGGTGCTCCTCTCATACACTTATGGCTGTTAGTCCTATCGGGAACACCACAGAGAACATTAACGGGATTGTTTATTAAGCTTTTTCAAGAAGCGCCAGTTTCCGATTTATTTCCCGGCGCATAAAGCAAAACACCGGGCATCGTGCGGAACACGGATCGGTACAACCCGATTTTTATCGCGTCGGCAGAGCCGGACGACATAACCGCGAAAACTCATGCAGTTATGTTTCAAAGTTGCCCTTGATTCATTCCCAGATATTTGACCAAACATTACAAGCATGAGGAATACCTCCCTTTTACCCTCTCTTTTTCTGTAAAATTTTGAAAAACTCTGAGGCTTTGCAGGCTGAAAATCTCGGATTGCTCCGTCGAGTCTTGTTCAGCATGGTCTGCGCAGCTGTGAGGGTTCCCGTGGTCACGTGGTCTGTGTTGTGCTGCTGTGAGAGGAGTCGAGGCGGAGCTGCACGGTGGTTGAAACATTTCGATGTAAGCACCTGCCGCTCAATGTCCCGTGCGGCCCCTTCCAGGTGGTGCACGGGCGATGATGACCTCCGCCTTGTTGTCTTCCGCGACTGCGAGCGCCGTGGGCGACAGCTCCTCTTCGACTCCAAGACTGTGCGCAAGCTCCCGAGAACCAGCCCGGTATTGCTGCCAACCCCACCATGCTGACACTTAGGGTGCCACCACATGGTCACCACACAGCCCAAACCAGGTCATCAGCGTCAGCACCGTCATTGTTTTCGGCTTGAAGACAGCCACTGCAGTGATTACCAAGACTGTCCCTTATTGAGCCATGGCTGTTATTGCTGTTGAAAAGTGGAATGGTGGCATAGAGGTCCATGTGCTGCACTATGAACTCTGATGTGCGTTTGATGCCCTGGCCACGGCTAACATCGGTGCCAAACGACATCCAAACCGGTCCTGAACCCCAACTTCCAACTCGCACTGACTAGGACAGTGAAGTACGGCCAAACAAACTCCTTTGACCAACATGTCATGCGTAGGCCTTAAGCCAGAACTTGGCAAAGCATTGTGGATAACAATAAAACAATAAATGCTAACGCTATCGATATCATTACCATGGCAATTACTACGTTTACCACGGTTAATTTTTTCCACTGTTACCACCAACACTGTTCTGACGGCATACCGAGCGTCCTTTTTGCAGCCATAACATCATCGGTAATAGCACCGCCATCACTGGTCGCGTACAAATACAACCAAGACGCTGCACTAAACTGACTTCTAAAGTGCCACGTAATCGTTCAAGTTCGTCATCATCATCATGATCATCAGCCATTATCTCACCACTATTGCCATCCCCCGAGGTTTTGCATTGCGACAATCCTGTACGTGAACTGATCCCGGTGCTTTATCTTGCCACGGTTGCCCTCTTGGCACATTCCGTTTCCGCGTTCTGTCACTCATTTGTCCACTTGGCCAGCGTCCCTTCTGTATTGTCCTGCCCGATCCCACATGGTGTCCTCAGCCAATATCCTGCCTAAATTTTTTTTTTTACAATTCATTGATCCGTGTGTTATTCTTCATGCTGCCTTCTGCACTTTTTGCTGTATAAGTAAATAAATACATCTGCCATGTTACAATCCATATGCGATGGCTGGTAGTGTGGTACACAAGTTGTGGTCAGATAGCGGAACAAAGGTGAACAACTCCTGCCTAATGTGTACACATTGTGTTTTGTCAGTTTGAGGGTTTATTAGAATTGGCTGCTGAGGGGATTGGCACAATTCGTCCAGACCAGTTTCGCAACTGCGTTCGGCCTCCCCCCACCTCTCATTGTGGGTCATCCCCTTGCGGTATCAGTACGAACATGTGCTTCCGTGACATTATCCACCGGGCCGTGTTACGTAGATTCTTTGTCCACCTCCTGACTTCAAGTATCGTTCACCTAAAGGGTTTCTCCCATTTCATATTGTAAATTAATTTTTAAATTATTCTTGACCACGGTGTTTAGATTTCACTGCAGCATTTGGTTTGACCCCTTCTCCACCAGAGGCCAAACCCGGACACAATTCTCAGTCGTACAATAACCGGCAACCAGATCTCAGTGTAAATCAGTTCCTGCCACCCGAACACAGACACCAATTCCTCCGACTGTCCAGGTCGCACCTGGATGGGTGGCAACTCTCCTGCTCTGCCTTCTCGTTCCTGTTCCAAAGTCCGCCCAATTTGACTGATTTGCATCAGTGATGCAGCTGCTTGAGTACTGTGCTCTCACCAAACCGCACTGACCACTGCCATGAACTATGGCCCAACAATTCGCATCACACCGGCTGTGGTGAAGGTGATCTTATCTCCTTCGCCTGGTATGAAGGAGGTTGTGGGTTTGACCCCCGACCCTGACGATCCCTGTATACGTGGAGTTTGCTTGTTTTTCTCGTGGTCACGTGGATTTTTCTCCGGGTCCTCTGGTTTTACCCTCCCACGTTTAGAAACATGCGATTAGATAACTTCGCTACTGCGACAGATTCCCGTGTGTGATGGTGATATCAGCCACTGCGATGCGCTATCATCATGCGTGGCCAGGTCACCTCTGAAAAAGAGCTCGTAACTCGGTAAATTTCACCTGGTAAAAACACACAGCAGGGAAGCATTCCTCCTAGCTGATGGTTGACACGGGGATGACAAATATATCGCGTTGTAATTTTTTTTTCCCATTATTCAAGAAGATGACAAATTTTTATCAAATGTTACATTTACTGCGTACACTGGATGGAAGTGCAAAAACACACTTCGTGTTGATTTAATAAACACCAAAGGTAGACCATGAGCATGTTTCAACAGTTGATTCCTTGACTCTTGTAATGTGGCTAGCAATTTGTGGCACCGTTCTGAATTACTTCATACTTGCAGCAACGGCAGATTTAAATCCATCGGTGCCAAATTTCCTTGTGGGGGGCGCAGCTTGAATGAATCCTGCAGCCACAGCAGCAGGCGAGAGTTTCGGTGTTTGATAGGCCTTTTTATCGAGTTGAACATTAATCGAGTGCAGGAGGGGGATCTGAGTCTGATGCCAGAGCGTGAACCAGCACCACCGATACCTGGGTTTGAGTCCAGGCAGCTGTCTCTCAATAAACAATGTTCTGAAGTGTTTTCTAATGACTGCACAACAAACACCTATCGGAAGAAATGTCTAATGACATTGTGCCGACGGCACATTTGGCAATATAATAAACATAAATGAGGGCGACTGCTTTACCCGGAATGTGAAATTAGCGTTGAAATCTTCACTCGACACCGTAAAAGCCATATCCGCCCTGCACCCTTACTGGTATTGCCTGTGAATGGATTCCACTATGGCAAAGACTCATCCCACCTACGCGCATCTACAGGGCCGACGAGGCTACGTTCTTAACCCCCTGCGTTTCTACATCATCACCAAGGCCAGGATTTGTCATACTCTTGCGTTTTTACGTTCCCTGCTGTAATGTTGCGCTGCAACCGCCAGACTCGTCACAAGCTCGGAGATGCATTTTCCTGCATGCCTCATCTCTTTGTCTGTTTTATGGAGATCAAAAGGGGTAGAAGCATAAGTGAGCCCGTATCTGCACACTTGGTACTGGAATGATTGATGGCTTTATAAACCCTTTCCTTGTTCCGATAAGGGTGGGTCCCATTCACTGCTGAATCTCGCAACGTGCAAGTGGTTAGCGTTAATTTTATCTAGAGAGGCGTAGTGCTGTTGTTTTTAAAGAAATTGTACTCGCCACATAGAACTGTAGTGACATGACCGCGCTCTATGATCGCTGGCGCCAAACTTTCACACACCCTCCCGCATGGGCTTGTGGGAGCCTTGGTCAATCTTCTGACCTGAAGACATGCCAATAAAGTTAGTTTTTCTTCCGGTTTCCGTTCCGAACACACACACACATCGGAATGAGGAAGAGGTTAACATCGATTCTTAAAGTCGTGATACACGCATGACATTGCGTGCGTGAACGTGAATGCGCTCCGATCGGTGTATATTCTGTATGATGGGTTAATTGTCATCCAAGCAGCCGCGGTGGGCGAGTTATTCTTATCGCCTGCTGCACTCGAAAATTTACGAAAAAAATGTTGATTGTGGGTTGCTCCCCGTAACGGGATCCAGATGTCACCCGGGACACCAAGCCACAGATACACTGAGGGTAACGCTTGTTGTCTGTCCTTCTTCGCTGCGGCCAATGTCTCCTCACTTTGTTGCACAACAGAGGAGCTCTGCTCTACAGATTTGAACGCGTCGACGACGCTCTTTTTATTAATTCGGCGGTGCCGTGCGCGGAATTCGTGGCACGATGCTGGCACTGAACTGTGGCCATGCCCCTCCCCCTCATATCTTGTGCCACCCCCCCCCCCCCCCCCCCCCCCACGGCTTTGGTTTCAATGGGGAGCCTGAACGAGCCAATAATAACCAGATGACGAGGATTTGTCGATCACAGGATGGCAGTTAAGATGCGTTGGACTGAAGTTGATTTATACGGGCATTAACACTTTAACAATACTTGGCAAAACCTGTTCATATTTCTATCTGCACAGAAGTTGTTAATTTCGTGACCACTATTACAATGTGTACTTACAGCTATTGATTGGATTTGGGACATCGACAGAATTATTTTTAACATGTAGGCTTTTGCATCCAATATAAAGAGTCATAATCGGCACGTTTGTTCCCATGACAACCCTATTATTATTTGCATGTGTTGGGTGGAGTACTGTTTTACGATAAGCCATTTTACTTACACGATCTGTCCCAACAACAAAACATCTATTGGGAACAATTTTGGTCTGGTTATCATTCGGGAGGACGTGAGTGCCTCTTTTGCAGTTCACTGGATCTTGGTCCATGTTCTTTCGGTTTCAGTTTTCATTTATTTGGTATAGCCCTGTGAGCCATTCAGCTCTTGAATCGGGTGCAACTGCAACAAACAAAAAACATGAACAAGAAAACTGTCTTAAAGTGACTATGCGCAAACAGAAAAATCCAGGAAAAAACAGCAAAATTGTTCCAGAAAAAGCACAGTACACCAACGCTGTGTGCAAAAATCCCAGTGGGATGCAAGTCGAACAACAACAACAACCACCATAAGACAACTTCGATTAAAGCCATCAGTTTAACTCCGTACTACAACAAACAAACATGGCCAAACCAAAAAACGTTTTCGAAATCACCAAAATAAAGCCATAAAAGCAATGTAATAGTGATCATAGGAACTGCGACCGAAACTTCACAATAAACGACATAAACAACATGTGTACCACCAAACAGCATGTTCTCTGGCCAGGAACCTCTCTAGTCGGGAGGTTCCTGACCACGTACAGCCCAGGGTGCAGTGGTCGCAGTCGGGGGCGGAGCCAGGATTTCAGGCCGGGGTGACATTCAACAAATGTTAATTTCAAGAATGATTTAGAGAGAGTCAGGCTGTTGAACTAGACGCCATCGGTTGGCGACACACTCTGACAATGCAGTTGCACGGAGTCCGCCAGACCGAGTGTCGTACACTTATACGCAGACTGTCACCCCTGTCACCCCCCCCCCCTGGCTCTGCCCCTGGTCGCAGTGTTCCCACGGGCAGCTCGTGGTGGTGACGCCACGCAGTATTACGTGTGCAGCCAAGGTCAATTGATCCTTTTATAAGAACAGTCGCTGATTCAATGAATGTCACATTAGACAGCTTTTTTTTCCACTTGATGATTATTTGGGCCACACGAGCTGACCAAGTGGGTCGAGGTTTACACACCTTACTCATTCATCTGGCTGGCTCGGTTCCTGGGCCACCAGAGGTGCTTGTTTGCTCCTGTGGGCAATAAAACAAACCTGTCAAGCAACCTGACCTTCTTCAAAATAGCCCCGTGTTTAAATTAAGACCTGCAGATCCGTGCCACGAGAGGCTTGCACGGCTTTGGAGTCTGTCAGTGCTAAATGAAGGCGGCACGTTCTCACAGCAAATCACGTTGCTTTTTCGGCGGAATGACGTGTCAAAATCCACCATTGTTCCACTTGGCGAGGTTTACTTGTGGACAGCTGATGGATCACTTTTTAGGCGCACGTGGAATGGGGACCAATTGGTGTTGCACAGTCTGTAAAACCACCACCAAAGGTCACGGTTGTTGTCTTCTGCCAAGGCTGCCATCACATGCACATACACATTTGTTGTCGCATTGATGCAAGCCCATTGCTGCTGATGACAGATGTATTTGTGTGCGTGTCTGTTTGTGAAACTCCATCTTCCCCCCCCCCCCCCTCCCACCACTGACTGCCCCAGTCCTTACTCGCATCCCTTTACCTACTTTGTGGCATTTCCACATGGGCACTGCTCAGGTTCCAGGCAGTTGAATGTCATTGGGTCACCAAATCAGCAGGCGCTCTGGCTGCAAGATAAACTTTCCGTGCGATTTTGTCATCAGCACTCATCAGAAATAAAAATTGTATTATTTGATCGGTAATCAATATAATCCTTATAGCACCTCCGATGACCATGATTGGCTACGTACGGTGCGAAATAAGTTATACATGCATACAACATACAGTATATACAAATAGCATGTAGAAATATTTCTTTTGAAATCTTGCGTTTTATGAAGGCAAAACAGCTATAAGCGCCGATTTAAAATGTCTGTAGTCAAATAAGTTTTTAATTGAATAAAGGTTTGGAGCTTGAAACCAAAATAATAATTCCTGCTTGTGCAGTAATAACTAAGACATATTCTGCATGCCATTTGTTGGTGCGCATCAGTTTTGCGACCCGATCCAGCCTTGTAGGCCAGTGCGGCCTCATTGCGTGTGGCCAAAGTTGCATCTTGACCAAGTGGTTCTGCTGCTTGGCACTCCGGTCTGCTATCCCAGAGACTCGGGCACGATTCCTGGATGCGCAAATCAGGAGCGATTAGATCAATAAAATTATTTGCGCCTCGGGTCTACTCGGGCCAAAACTGAGTAGAGACTGACTTGGTTGAGCACCACCCTGTGGAACACTAATTTGTTATGACGCACTTTCTCTTTGGATTTTTTCTCCGAGGGGGGGGGTGGGGGGGTGGGAAAGAAAAATCTACAAAGTGGCAGTGCTTGCCGAGGAAACGTACCCACCCCCATCATTCGCTCGGCGGCCAATGAGAGCAACGAACGCTCCGAGCCAACCAGACCCCCCCACCTCCCGCAATTCGATTACCACGATTCGTGGTCACGGTCATAATTATTTTAGCATTTTATTTGTTTAGCCAGATGAGAACTCGCGAGACGCAGATAATCTTGGGCTCCACCTAAAAAAACCTCATCACAGAAATGTAGACTTGGGGCATCACTCGGACCACAGAGTTCCTGGAGCGATTCTCCGAGTGACCCGGATTGGGAGCACAGCAGCTCCTCCAACCTCGTCTACCACCTCGTACATGATACTTTACTGATGTTTTAATACATGATTCTCATTCCTGAAATAATGTTTTACGGTGAGGGGGAAAAAAAGTATTTGATCCCCTGCTGATTTTGTACGTTTGCCCACTGACAAAGAAATGATCAGTCTATAAATTTTAATGGTAGGTTTATTTGAACGGTGAGAGACAGAATAACGACAAAAAAATCCAGAAAAACGCATGTCAAAAATGTTATCAATTGATTTGCATTTTAATGAGGGAAATAAGTATTTGACCCCTCTGCAAAACATGACTTAATACTTGGTGGCAAAACCCTTGTTGGCAATCACAGAGGTCAGACGTTTCTTGTAGTTGGCCACCAGGTTTGCACACATCTCAGGAGGGATTTTGTCCCACTCCTCTTTGCAGATCTTCTCCAAGTCATTAAGGTTTCGAGGCTGACGTTTGGCAACTCGAACCTTCAGCTCCCTCCACAGATTTTATATGGGATTAAGATCTGGAGACTGGCTAGGCCACTCCAGGACCTTAATGTGCTTCTTCTTGAGCCACTCCTTTTGTTGCCTTGGCCGTGTGTTTTGGGTCATTGTCATGCTGGAATACCCATCCACGACCCATTTTCAATGCCCTGGCTGAGGGAACGAGGTTCTCACCCAACATTTTACGGTACATGGCCCCGTCCAGCGTCCCTTTTGATACGGTGAAGTTGTCCTGTCCCCTTAGCAGAAAAACACCCCCAAAGCATAATTTTTCCACTTCCGTGTTTGACAGTGGGGATGGTGTTCTTGGGGTCATAGGCAGCATTCCTCCTCCTTCAAACACGGCGAGTTGAGTTGATGCCAAAGAGCTCCATTTTGGCCTCATCTGACCACAACACTTTCACCCAGTTGTCCTCTGAATCATTCAGATGTTCATTGGCAAACTTCAGACGGGCATGTATATGTGCTTTCTTGAGCAGGGGGACCTTGCGGGCGCTGCAGGATTTCAGTCTTCACGGCGTAGTGTTACCAATTGTTTTCTTGGTGACTGGTCCCAGCTGCCTTGAGATCATTGACAGGATCCTCCCGTGTAGTTCTGGGCTAATTTATCACCGTTCTCATGATCATTGCAACTCCACGAGGTGAGATCTTGCATGGAGCCCCAGGCCGAGGGAGATTGACAGTTCTTTTGTGTTTCTTCCATTTGCGAATAATCGCACCAACTGTCACCTTCTCACCAAGCTGCTTGGCAATGGTCTTGTAGCCCATTCCAGCCTTGTGTAGGTCTAAAATCTTGTCACTGACATTCTTGGAGAGCTCTTTGGTCTTGGCCATGGTGGAGCATTTTGAATCTGAATGATTGATTGCTTCTGTGGACAGGTGTCTTTTATACAGGTAAGCTGAGATTAGGAGCACTCCCTTTAAGAGTGTGCTCCTGATCTCAGCTCGTTACCTGTTTAAAAGACACCTGGGAGCCAGACATCTTTCTGATTGAGAGGGGGTCAAATACTTATTTCCCTCATTAAAATGCAAATCAATTTATAACATTTTTGACATGCGTTTTTCTGGATTTTTTTGTTGTTATTCTGTCTCTCACTGTTCAAATAAACCTACCTTTAAAATTATAGACTGATCATTTCTTTGTCAGTGGGCAAACGCACAAAATCAGCAGGGGATCAAATACTTTTTTCCCTCACTGTACATCTGTGTTATTGTTAGTGCTATTACCTATACCCCTGTGAAGGCCTCGTATATTGCTCCATAGGAAAAAATAACGCTGTTGGGAACGCATCCTCGCATACACGTGCCGATTCGATTAGCACTCGCGTCTCCAGGCACACATTGAGGTCTACCTGCACATGATAGTGTGCTCGCACAAGTATTGGAAGGACAACATTATCTAGTAGTGGATAGTGCTGGCACCATCATCCCTGTGCATGTGTTGTTCGCCTTAATAGGTACTCGCTAACAACAATTACCCCTCCAGCGTATAAGGCTTACCGGGGGGATGTGTGCCCTGTGTGTGTGTGCGCGTATATCTCTGTGCGAACGCTAGGAATGTGGCGTGAAACAAGCGCGTGTGTTTGGGAGGTTCTGTTATCTCGGCAGTGCATCTTCCACTCAGCAGCCCGACGCCGGTCTCCACGAGGAGGAGGGCCCTCGGTACCAGGTACGGTACCTCCCCTTCCCATCTCGGGCCCTGTCGCTGGCTTCTGCTCGTACCACTGCGTATGCCCAGTTACATATTGGGGAGTGGTAGTGTCGTGGGTTGGGGCACTGCGCTACGAACCCGGCGACACGAGTTTGATTCCCGCTCGCGGCCAACACCAGTGACGATTATCTAAACTGGTCGTGGGTCGACTTGGCCTCGCATAAGTACTTGGTGCGGTGTGTAAAACATTGCCACTGGGGAGACAAACGCGGTCGGGCGTGGTGCTGGTCGCCCACCCCCTTTGTATGCCATGCCGGCCTTTAAAGGTGCTCGCTCGTAGCACTTGCCCCAACAATCTGGTTAAGGCTATATGGGGGATCTTAATTTTTTTGCCCAGTTGCGTGCACTTTTTACATCCTGCGGCGCGCGCGAGTGGCGGTGCTGTTCGTTACGCTGCCCCCCTCCTCTAGCCCGGCCTCATTTGCTCAAACGAGAATTTGTTGACCGCCTGTAGGAGGAAGCCAGAATGCTTGCTGGAAAACAATGCATACCAGTCCAATGTAGACTTGTGCTTATGTAAACACGTACGATTTGACAGCTAATGTTATGATAATTCTGACTTATGTAGTAACAACTAATAAGTCGCGTTTCAAGAATTGACCGTTGGATAATGGCGGGTTTAACGATGCACATATACGTGATCTAACCCAAAAATATTTTATGGATAATATTGATTGTGAAAGCCTACATATTAAAGTAAGTTTCAAGACATTCCACATGCTCTCTGTTAATGTGCTTGAGTATAACGATCCAATCCAGCCTTGTAAGCCAGTCGTGGCCTCCTAATAATGTGTGCCCAGGGTCGCATCTGGGCAAAGTGGCTGAAGTGTACCGCCCTGGGAATGTGGCCCTTTACATCCACAACCAATTATAGCCGCTTTCAAAATCTCAATTTGCGGTGAGCGATGTTAAATAGTGGCCTATGTATAAGTACAACATGTGTCGTTGATCAAGGACCGGTCGACTGGGTAGTGGGTGGTATGTGGTCCATCGATGACCCTGTGGGTCTGCGTAATGTTGTACCCCTTGGTCGTTAACAAAGCCCTCGGCGATGTCTGCAGATCTGCATACCGCTGGTTGGGTACCAATAGCCATTTGTATCTTGTTGCTTTTGTGGATCAGCATATGACAGGACAATTTATGCTTATTTTTACTGTACGAGTAGTCACGTTATCTCATATATATATATGCGTGTGTTTGTGTGCACGTGTATGCATGCGCACCTTGACAGTGGCATAAAGTGCACAGCCTGGCACAAGCGCCGTGGTGACGTCACCGCAACTTTGTTGTTGTGTTTTTTTGTGCAGGCCCTGCGACAGTGCACCGACGTGAAGATGCTGTGTGAGATGATGTTTGGGTCCGTGGCAGTCAGCCTCAAGACGTCCACGCTGAAAATTCACCACATCAGGTGTGGCCCCAGCGCAGGCAGTCCCAGACACAAGACATTGATCCGTGCAGCCTTCAACACTGCCCGCTGGGAGTCTATAACTCGGTTTTGCACCCTTTTCCACTGTAGACCAAGCCCAGACATATTTCTCAGTCAGCTTCGGTCTATTACCAAAAGTGTGCAGTTTTCTGTGAGAAATTTCTACGCTAGACCAGATCTCTGTACAGACCAATTCCTGCTGCCCGAACGCAGATGCTCATTCCCGGACTGTCCGGGTCAAATCTGGACGGGTGACAGTGCTGCTATCTGTTACAGCACTGCTATGTTCTCGCAGCTATCGATCTCCTAATCAACATGAGCAGTCTTTTGTATTCTCCCCAATGTGGGGGTGGGGGGGGGCTCTTTTGGCAGTAGTGGAATGATGCGTGTGGTTTGATGCGTGTGGCTTGCTGTGTGTGGTGTGATACACAGGTGCCCACCCCAGCTGCTGCTCAGCAGGGTGTACAGGGTGCGCACTTGCAGCGGAACCGACACTGGCACCAGCACGTGAGTACGCGAGCGGCCTTTGAGAAAGAGGGCTGATGAAAGGACTCTAAAATTAATGCTGTCAGCTCGAGCGCATGCCTGACATTTGATGCTCTGCACACTTGGTGGAGATCCATGAATGTGCGTCTTCACGATCCTTTCGTTTGCGAGTCTCGCATCCCCTGTCGCCTGTGTGAATCTGTTGTTGCAGGCTAAATGAAACTTTCAATTGCTCAAACCCGCTTTTCAGTGAAGCCAAGCCCTGCACTGACCAAACGCCCGAGTGTGGAAGCCAAAGGGGTACTGCACGCACCTGCACACACCTGCACACACCTGTCCCCACAGGTACCAAAACAAAGCTTTTCTTTAGCCTCCGTACATTGTTTGGACACGCGCAGTTGTTGAGCAGCTAACATTGTACTACCTGGCTGCAACACCACCTTACTCAGGATTATGCTTAACTATTTTTTCTCTTCATTGACGGGCTTAAAAATGACATTTTGTCAAAACTAAAATTTTTCCACACACATCCCACACGTATTTCTCGTCAGCCTAGGTCTTATTCATAATAAAGTTTTTTTGGGTTTGATTACGTAATTATACATATGTCGTAACTCTCCGCTACCAGACACAGCCAGTTAGGTTTGTCACGTAAACAACTCGCCAATTAGTTACTACTTCAGCCCACCGGTGTGTTGGAGATTAAATCCACAACATTTACTATTTGAGTGACGTTTCTATGGTAATTACATCCAGCATCATCGGGCGATTTGCAAGAATAGTGAAGCAATCCACCTGCTTCCGGTCTTAAATAGAGCAAGATGACGTCATCACTGAACCCATCGCGTGCATAGATCCGAGGTGGAGGAGGGGGGGGGTGTTGTAATACTCTTATATAAGAGCACAACTTTGTCTTTGAACGCTGCACTTTCCGTCGTTTTCATGCAGGGGGCGCTGCAAATCCCACACGCCCCCTGCATGAACGACGGAGGTGCAGGGATAGACGTTCGATTGCGTTGGAATCGATCTGCAGACGGCGGTCTTCTCGCACGGCCAGCTCTGTCGCCTTATCTCGATCCCGCAATCCCAAACAGGTGAAAGTCCGCATCTAACCGAACCCCCAGCAAGGCCATCTACTTAATGACGAGAGAAAATTCACACGAAATGTCCTTTTAAATTAAGTGTTCCAGATGTAAAATGATATAAGCTTTTAATGAAGAAATACAATTATCTAATTCAAAGATGTTTCATTTTAAAACTTCAAAACGGAGCATCAGGTGCTTGCGTCAATGCGTCGTTCGTGTGAAATTTTTTGTGACTTTCCTGGCCGAAGGCCGTAAATGGTTGTGAGGGGTGCCATAGGTGCCCCCCGAACAACCCCTAGTTAATTATATAATAGATTAGTAATCGGTTAATTAGCATGTGTTTCCGCCATTAGGAATACAGTTGTAAAATGTATCACTTAATAATATGCTTCCAGGCCGCACTAAGCTTGTAGCTGTCAGAGCGGTTAAAATTATTTGTATTTCTCTCAATTTCAATAGACTCTGGAATTAGTCTCGGCAAGTAATGATTGCTTTTACACAACACTTAAACGTTATGTTAATCAATTGAGTGTCCTTGTTGGCAAGCATGTTCTGCAACTGCAATAGTTGTGTTTTGAGATTATTTAATATTTCTTTGGTGTTCTTTTAGGCTTACGCTAATGTTACGTCCCGCCTGTCCAATATAGCATCTGCCACATAAGCAATTTATTCGATATACACCTTCTGTTGATAACTTGGGCAATTCATCTTTAGTACAAGATGCTAGGTTTTTTTTATTTTGTGTACCGTGCGAAATCTTACTTTTATTTTCTGTTTTTACAAAACTCGAGCTAATTTGTCATTCACTCCCGCAATACGGTATTTGATTAATTTTAATAACCTTGTCGCTTTCAGCAGTATTGCTATTCGATCATGGATTGGCATTCAATGCTCTGTTAATTTGAGCATTGTTGTAGCCATTTAATCGCAGCACTTCTCATCTGACACTGTTTTAGCCCGATATATGAGCGTCTTGATGAGAGAGGATTTCTGTGCGGGTGATGATGCGAATCTGCATTCAGATAGGCATCGGTGTGTGTTTCCTTTCGGTAAACGCTGTGTGTTATTTTACCATTTTAGGCCGCGTCCAAGCAAAATATCCAGGAATGGGAGTGTGTTATTCACCTCCATTTCCATGGTGAACTGGAAAGGCTGGGTTTTGCGAATTGAGATGATTTAGAAATGCATTGTTTCTTTACCATGTGACCAGACAACCAAAGTGTCATACACATATCTAAACCAACATATTTATTTAGTGTACTTGAAGCAAGCGCTCTTGCTTCAAAGTTTTCCATGTACAGATTCCCAATAGCAGGAGACAAAGGAGAGCCCATTGCTTCTCCTTTTGTTTAAATAAATCACCTCTCCATAAGAAAGCATTGTTATTTAGACAATGGTCATCTAGTTTTGGAATATCTATCATTGCAGTGCTGTCTGCTGATGCCACCAGCTCTCGGTACAAGTCAATTCCGGCCTACCAGATGCCAATTCCTGGACTGTGCAGATCAAACCCGGATGGGTGGTGACCCTACTTAAAGCTGACTCCTCCGTCACAGATGGTCATATTCCACGGTAGACTAGCTAACGTTTGTGTGTGTACTGCTTCCCCAGTCTCCAGCACTCCCATGGAGATGCCTCTGAAGACCGTAGATGGTGCACTACATGGAGGCCGCATGCAGCCCGGTAAGGGGACGAGTCATATCGATGATGATGATGATGCTGCTGATGATACTGCTGCTGCTGCTATGGCGCGGTGCCTTGTGGTGCGGTGAATGACTGTGCATGTGTACGGAAGTTGCCAGGGGGTCGTGGTTCTCTCTGTTGTATTTGATCTGTCCCCGTGACCTGACTTTTTTAAGCTTTTTGTTCTTGATTATTTTACTTTTATTCAAAAGTGAATTCAAGCTGGGTACCCTTACCCAGGAACTGCTGTCTTATTCCAAGGGCTGAATGTTGGTGTGTAGTTTCTGTGTCCGATATCGGTTTGCCTCATTCTCGTACTTGGTGTTTCATGTTGTCACTTTTGTGACTTTGGTGACCACGTTCTCTTGCAAACGAGACTGTCCGGTCTCTTGAGTTCTCGCCTGGCTTAAACAACATCAACTGGAAGCTTAATTTGCCAATTTAATCCTGATCTCCTGAACCCTGACGTTTACGCCCTGTCTCAAGCACTCTGAGGCATAATCTCCGATGTCTCACCTCCGAGCCGTTCTGGTGTCCTGCTACTCTGTGCGCAGGCTCCCTCGGCAGCATGTTCTCCATGCCAGGCGCCTCGCTGGGCTCGCTAAGTTCACTGGGCATGAGCCCAGGCACCGGCACCTGGCACCGCAGCCTGCATGCTAGCGGCACCACCTCCCAGCTGTCGAGGAGGTCTGTTTTCTCACCCCGCTGGCTTGATACGTGAGCGTGTCCCCCGCAGTGCGAAGAGATGAGCAGTGCTACCCCAGTCCCTAGGTTGAATGTGGAGATACCAACGGGCAACTAAGAGACGAGCTGGGGATATGATGCTGTATCTCACCTGAAGTACCGTCACAACAAAAAAATTCCCACACCCGTAGGTTTGTTTAAAGTCTAGAAAACAAATCCGCTGATGCTTCCCATGTCCCTGTAATTGCATTGTTCAAAGTTGCGTTCATTGGCGTAAGTTTTATTTGTTTAGACATTTGATTATATTTTTTTACCGTTAAAGTGCGTCAGTCCCCTTGTGGCCGTGCCTGCGCCAGGGTGGAGGAGGACGACTTCCGCCTGGTGTCGGACGCGGGACAGCCCAGCCCGTCGAGCCTGCGCCGCATGAGGCTGGCGCTCGGCGTGGTGGTGGCGCTGCCCGTCGGCCACGAGGCCGCCCTGCAGCACTTTCTCTTCACGCACTTCCTGCTGCTCGAGGGACGCATGCGACGCCTGAAGGCGGCCGTGGAGAAGGTGTGCCCTTCGCCTAGCCCTTCATGCTCCTAACCCCCACCCCCTACACATCTTCCCCACGTCGGTGCTGCATTGAATGCGGAACTTGAGTCGACCAATGACTGCGCAGATCCAATATAACTACCATTTTTATTCTACCAGGTAAGACCCACTGAGCTATGTAGCTCTTTTTCAGATGCGACCTGGCCACAAATGATAGATCAACGTGTAATGGCTTATGTGGAAGTTTATAGCAGCCAAATACTCGGCGCATGTTTTTCAATGTGCAAGGAAAAACTGAAGGACCCTGGATAAAAATCCACGCAACCCACGGGGAGAACAACTCCAAATATACAACAGGCATTAGGGTCGGATCGAACACATGACCTGCATACCAGGTGAGGCAGATAAATGATCAAATGAGCAGTTGACGCCATACAGACTGCATCCTTAAGGTTTAGATAATGTGGAAGAGGTGGGCATACTCGCTCTTTACCCCACTGCACGAAACTTGCTGAGAAACTAACTAACGGTGGACACACCACTGAGTGGACCGAGGCAGAGGGATTTGAGAAACTTGCATCGTTGTTTCAACTGCCGCGCCGGGAGATGGAATCTAACCAGCGACGTCCGTATTTTGCAAATCGTGCTCGCCACTACAGCACGAAAACTCCCTTCGTTTCACAGTTAAAAGGTTCAAATGCTCGACATTTATATGCATGCAGCAAACCGGTAACCAATTGTAACGGTGTGTATCAACTAACCCCCTATACACGATGTTCTTGTGTTCATGCCTGGCCAGTGGCTGTTTGCGCCATGTTCAAGTCACCTGTGTGCTGTGCCCTGCTTAGGCTATGATTGCCTGCCGAGGGATTGAAGACTGTGAGCGGAGGCTGCAGGCCTATGTCGGCATGCTGGTGGAGGCCCTCGCTGTCTTCCGGTACCCACCCAGACCCACCCCTGTACAAAAGTGTACATTGTTTTTGCTTGGTGCAAATGACAAGCTGGTATTGCGTGTGGGACGTAACGTGGGGAACTAATATTCTGCAATGACTCGGTAGGTTATTTTGTATGCAGTATTGTATTTATTTGTGTCAAGTAAGGATCCATATCCAACCGAGAGGGTCGTTGCCTATAATCTCGTTAACCAGCATTGGTTCAAGTGGGCCTTGCTCCACTGATGTTACATTTAAAAGTCAGAACCAGTCCAGAGTTTAATTGTTTTAGAACCAATGCTGCTTAAATTATGCACTCCCAGAACACCTCATGGCTGCGATCTGTAAATATTTCTTCCTTTTTGTGGAGGGACAGATATTTGAAGTTGGCCAATTCATTTTTCTCATATAACCTCCCGCGACGACGCTCCATGCTTGTTTTGCGTCGTTATTCACGCGGTCAGGAGGGGCGTACGGGACCTGTACTCCCAGCCGCGCCTGCAGCAACCAGTGTGGCTCACGCTGTCGCAGGAGTGGAGCAACCGCCAAGCCGTGTGCCACAGATTCATGTCGGAGCTCTCGGCTCTCGCCAGCGTCTCCGGCAGACAGAGGTATGGCAAGTGCACACGTACAGCCCCCTTTTTGGGGGGTCGGTGCACTGACGGATGAGGGCCGTTCCACGCTGTACTGGTCATGGACCTTGTTTCACCATGGGGAAGGTGAGGGAGCAAAGGTGAAGGTGCCGATCAAAGTCACGGTGGCATAGAAGTCCAGTACGACAAGTGACGATGGTGCTGCTGCACTGGAGGCATTCCGGTTCATGCGGTCATGTGCTTCGACGACCCTTGTAAGCTGCTGTAAATGCTCAGTTGTAAGATGCAAGTGGTAGTGACTGTGCTTGTCAGGGTATGGTGCCGGGGCTTGCGAAGCCACGGCCGATAATGTGTTGTCATTACGGTCAGCCCGGGTTACGGGATGCAGTACCAACCCTAGCAGGGCTTGGGTGAGCGCTGGTTAGCGCGGAGGCACCGCGAGCAGTGTGCGGTGCGGGCTCCCGGTGAGGGAGCGTCAGCCAGCCAGGGTTACCTTGGGGCATGATACGCTGGTTGACCTGCTGTCACGTGACTGGACGATATTGGAGGGCGGCCCACCGGTGGACGGGGGCCGTGGGGCAGTCACGTGGTCTAAAGGAGCTCTCGGGAACCTTTCGAGAAGGAGCTCGAGAGGCCTGGAGGGTGGGCGGGGCTAAGGGCGGAGCCAGCCCCAGCCCGGGGGCATATAAGGAGGGCGCCGTGAGGAGTCTCGGGGTTCTTCGTGTGCCGGTGTTACGAAGATCCACGTCGGGGAGAAGAAACCTCTAGCCACGCGGTCCGGGACCCAGCTTGTGGTCCGGACCGGGATAGTGAACCGTGTCTAGTTCTGCCGTAGCGTGGTTAGATGGGCATTCGAGACCCGAGTGTAGATCGTGCTGTGTTGCGTGTTAAGGTGTAATAAATAGTGTTGCTTCCAAGCTAACGTCTGTGACTCCGTTGGACTCGCTACACAAGCAAGTGTCTTTTGACGAATGTGCGTATGTACGTGTGTGTGTGTGTGTGCGTGCGTGCGTGCGCAGTAGTATCGTGGTTATTGCTTTGCGCTACGAAACCGGCGACCCGAGTTCGGTTCCTACTCAAGGGTCCACACCAGTGACGATTACTTGAACTGGTCCTGTGCCTCCCCCAAGTCAAATGAGTACCTGGTGTGTAAACATCCCCACTGGGAAGACAAAAGCGGCCAGGTGTGGTGTTGGCCACCCACCCCCTCGTGTGCCATGCCGGCCTTCATAGGTGCCCGCTAACAGCACTTGCCACAAAAGTCTGTGGAAGCTATACAGGGGATCTTCGTGCGTGCGTGCGGGTGCGTGTGAAGGTTTATTCAGGCCCTGCTGACAGCCGTGCTGACTCACCACGTGGGTTGGGTGGCCACGCTGACCCCCGGCGGTCACCCCCTTGCCCGCACCGCCCAAGCCTTGTCTTGGTCTGCCGCCACGGTGCCACCGCACAACCTGAACCCTCTCCAGGCCCAGCTGTGTGAGCGCTCGAGGAGCAACGGCGACGCGGTCGCGCACACACACATGTACACACACACACATCGTATACACGTACACACGTACACACGTATACACACACCACACACACACCACACACACCACACACACACGTACACACCACACACACGCACACACACACACACGCACACACACGTACACACACACACACACGTACACACGTACACACCACACACACACAGACACGCGCACACACACACACAGCGCGTGCTGTCACTGGGAAACCCACGCTGCGCGTGTGCACACGGGAATACGTGGAGTGGTTACTACCGTAGCACGCATGTGTGTACGTGCCTTGGCTTTGGCCCAGTGGGGAGCAGTGGTGGTGCACCTGTCGGTCATATCAAGTCAGTCAATCCATAGCACCTGGGTCTGTCTCGTTATGTTCTGCCAGCAAGCATCGACATGATGACGTCAGGTGGTTTCGGTCAACCTAGCCTGGCACAAGCGCTGCGGTAATTTCCACCGCCACTTGGTGGCTGATGGCAACACTGCGCTTCAAACCTAGCCACCGGAGTTGGATTGCCGCTCATGGCTAACATCAGTGGCAAACTGTTTCTGGGTCTCGCCAGGCTTTTAAATAAGTACCTGGTGTGGTATGTAAACAGAAGTCCATGACGGGTTGGGGGGGGGGGGGAGACAAAGGCAGCCCGCAGTGATTCTGGTACCACCACTCCCTCGTGCTCCGTGGCACGCTGTTCACAGGTGCTCGTGAACGGCGCTTGCCCCGACAGTGTGTACGCTATACGAGGGAATCTTTTGTGTTTTTTGTGTGCGGCGCGTTCGCAGGCTCGCTGCAGGGCTGCGTGGGCGACACGCCGTGGCTCACGCGCACCGTGGTGCTGGGCCGGGACCGCGCGGCCGTCGCTCGCGTCCTGCACGTGCTCACCCACTTCATCCGCTGCCCGCCGCTGCAGGAGCGGGAGACTGAGGGGCCCCAGGGCCCCGAGCGGGCCCGGGGCCCCGCAGAGCATCCCGACGCAGTGGAGATGCCGGAGGCCGAAGGGGCGGGCTACAGAATCTTCACGTCCCTCGTGAGTGGGGAGGTGGAGATGTCGGACTACGTGGTGGTGAGCGTGGTGAAGAGAGGCAAACAGCAGGAGCAGAGCGACGTGACGCAGCCCAGCGAGCTCCCAACGCCTACGCGGAGCGGGATCCAGCTCCGCGGCACGGCTGGGGATAAACCAGCGCACGCATCCACCACCGGTGGCCTGCTTTCCTACTTAGCTACGTCGGCCTTCTCCTTGCGGTGCAAAGTGAACGCGAAGGGCGGCGGAGCAGACCGAGCGGGAGAGGGTCGTATCGGCAGCGAGACGCCCGTGCCGCGTGCGGCGAAGCCGGAAGTGCAGCTGCTACCGATGAAGGAAAGTGTTGCAGCTCTCGGAAGGGCGGCTGTAGCACGGCAAAGCCGCGTGCCAGGCATGTCCAAAATAAAACGTTTGTCTCCTGTGGGGGAGCTCAGCCCCGAGAGGAAAGGTGTTATTGGGGGCGCAGACGTGAGCTTTCGCGAGGAAGTTTTAACGTCCGATTGTCACACGATTGGCCCTTGCGAAGCCGCCCACGGACCCGAGCCGCAATCCTCCTCGGAGTCCGATGCGAATGATCATGGACTCGTCTCCAGTTTCAAGCGACAGGAAGACTCTGCCGATCAGGGTGAAGACCTGGGTGGGCAACTGGCAGCCCAGGACGATTCACAAACACCGGGGCCAGCGACGGACACGAGGAGCCGCGTTCCGGACACGTTAACCCACCACCTGGCGAGACAACCATGCCATGCGGACACCGGCGTTGATGTTGCAGCCAGGACAGGTGGCGGTGGACACGGCAGTGTAACCGAGCGTGCTGGCGATTCATCTGCAGAGACCAAGTCGTCGCCACTACACAGGGCCATCCCTGTGAGCCACTGTGAAATCCCTCTGCCTCGGTAAGCTGTCCATGGGGGAGGAGGGGGTGGCGGAACTCAAACGTTTTTTTGTTTTAGCCGGGGCCCTGGTGCGGATGTTTAACAATTCCTTTTTGAGCATTTTGCTTTTATACAGAAATAAAGGACGTGAAGAAAACCCACTCGTGCCAGGGAATAATAACATTTAAAAAAATTGACAGATCCACTCCAGATTTTCTGCACTACCGTTTATTGGCTACCTCGTGGACGGGCGTACTTGGTACGCTCATGCCAATCGTGATATTTACTTAACCCAACAACCTCGCCTCTAAATCGGTGTACTAATGAACATGTCGCTAAAATTTTAAATAACGATTATTTAACAAGTCCTTTTTATTCACCACGGTTTCCTTCATGCGAGTCAAGTGTGACATTACGTTTTGAGCCCGTTGGGGATGCCGCATTCGTGTAATGGCTGGCACGCTGGACTAATTCCAGAGGTCACCAGTTTGGTCTGCCAACGCGGCAGTTATAACAATAGAAACGTTTCTTGAATCCCCCCCCACAGCCCACATCTGTCCACCCAGCACTATCAATGGGTACACCACAGCTAGTCGTAATAAAGGTTTTCTTGGGTTAGATCGCATAAATATATAAATGTGACATTAACCCACCACCACCAGCCGGCACACCGGTGTGCTGAAGTAGTCACTAATTGGCACATTTTGTTTACGTGACAATCCTTACTAATTGGCTGTGTAAAAAAAAAAGTATTAATAATATTGGTCACGAAAGCCTCTACGTGTTTATACACTGCTAGTTGATTGGCAGGGCGCGAGGTGTGGTAAAGTGTGAGTACCTCCCACCGCCTTAAAACGCATCTGGTCTGTGCGGTGCAGTGGGCCTACATGGAACCTTCTGCATTTAATTTGTATATAGTGCGGCCCAGCAGGCGGTTGTACGAGACAACTGAAGCGATGTTATCCTCCTCGTTTCGCACACGAGGGGTTGCCACCTGTGCTGGGTATTGGAATCTTTGTTCGTGCGGCAGGATTTTTTTTTTGTACCAACATTAGGTACCAGGTATTTTGAGCTTCGTTTTAGAAAACTGCACAGTTTTTGATTGTAGACTTAGGCCAAGCCGAGACATACATCTGAGTTTTGGCCTTTTGAAAAGGTTGATAGGCCCATATTATTGATTTGTGGTTTTTTTGTCCAACCGGCCACAGGTGTGATGTATGTGCAGTATTTAGGAATACGCCTTACATGCGAGGTTCAGGATTAGCTACTCGGGGCCTGCATGCCACACATTGCAGTTAATACCCCCAGGGTTCCATTTTTCATTTCTAGGGAGTAAATCCTTTTAATTAAAATTATACTCAAGGCTTGGTCAAATTTAAGGTGCCCTAACAGAATAATAGAAAACAACACAACTGTTAAACAGCACTGCGTACACATTGATAATGATAACGATTATCAGTCCGATTTTATAACGCGTGCAAACTTTTGAGCAGCGAGTCGCTAGCACGAGGTTGGGGAAATGCAACGTTAAAGCACAAACTTCTAACACTAATGAGTTGAAGCTGGTTATTAATGTTCATGGGAAGAGACATGAAGTATTGTATTGAAGTTTTTGCTAAAAGCATAAATATCTGCAGCAGATGCTTGAAGGCAAGGGTTATTTTTGCCCAAAACATTTGGTATTCCTCAAATTGAGTGCAGTCTTCGGTTGTATTTTAATGACTTGAATGCCTTCCGGCTCTTTAATCCATACTGCTCGTGTTAAGACGGATGTGCTATGCCACAGACCGCACCTTCGAGGGAAATGGAAATGTTGCTGATGAAGGGAGATGCGTTATTAAATGTTAATTGCGGTTTAGCTAATCGAGACCTTAATTGGGATGTGAATTTCCCTGGCTAGTTGTAACACCCTTGTGGTTCTTGGAAAGTTTTTTTCAAAATGTGCTGATGGCATCAGTAAAGTGTGCCGGAGATTACACGTTACCTTCCAATTTCCTTTTCAAGACGCCGAGAGGAGGAGCAAGGCAGAGTGGTTCCGTTGGGCCATACGGGTGTGTGTGTGTAAGAACTTATTTTGCACTGTACGTAGCCAACAATGCTAATAAAGAGGTGTGGGGGAAGGACAGCAAACTAAAACACAAAGCAGTCCTTAAAATTATTAATTTTCTGTCCAGATTTAAAAGTGCATAGCTCCAGTGGCTTCCGAATATCAGAAGGAAGAGAGCATTCCAGACGGTCGCAGAAGTGCACCTGAAAACGCACGATGCAGTGACTGTCTTTGTTTTATTGGCTCGCCAAAAGCCGCTGCTGTTAGGATGACCGGATGTTGTGCGTGATGGTTTATGCTCCTTGACGAGATCCAGAGAGGTTTTGTGCCTCATTTGCGGCAAGCGCTTTGTTTTAATGAGCGCGTTGTAGCTTGACCCTGCAGACACAGCAAGGAGGCTGCGCGCAGTCTGCGCGGCGCGTCATTTAAAAGACCGGCGGCACTTTGATCCATTATTCAGAGAAACTAACGAGTTGCCCACCCCCGCCCCCCCGCTACCCAGGAATCAAACCGTCGGCGTCATGGCGAAGAGCGGCAACCGCCTGCACATTGACATTCGTTTTACACGGCTTTATGGAAAGCAAATTTTGTAGAATCGTAATGACCCCGACTTCCCCATTTGTCGGTTGCAAATTTAGGTCATATCCCTCTGTTGGCATGCGTCTCGCTTGACCTTGAAGCCGTCCATCCGTCTAGCTGCATTGGCGCGCTCAGCTCCCACTCAATTGCAGACAACTTGGCCCACCATCCTTCCATAAGGTGGTAATCATTTTACCTATCTCGGAGATGTCAATACTGTATTGGTGACTGCCACTTTCTGGGACATATAAAGCTGGTGGTTCTGAAGATATACTGGGCCCTTGTCATAAGAATGTGGAATTTACGCGACTGGCTTGGGATGCCCAGGAGTATTGCCTCGATGCTCATTTAGCAGGAAAAATCCTTATTTAAACTGCATGCCACCTGTTTGCATCTTTAGTACTCTATACGTTATTATGTCTGCCTAATTATTTTTAACACTGCTGTTGCTCTCATGATACGATGGAGATAATAGAAACATATTTGCATCTTGACGTTGTTTAAAACACATTCCCGTTTTTGATGCTATAATGGGCTTTATAAAACCTGAATACCGAAGTTTCATCTGCAGCAGCGTCACCGTTTAAGACGTTGCTGGTTCGGATGATTTCTCGGAATGCCTGTACATAATTGATCAGTCGAGCAGAACAGGCATCGCATCTGTTGCCCACCGTCGTCTGGATTGGTGGTGCCTGGAGGTATCTTAAGAGCTGCTCTGCTGCCATCGAGGGAAGAGCAACGTCATGCGTGCAGAGTTTTGAACGGCAGACGTGGTTGTCTTGCGAGAGGACTCGCCGGGGGACACCACTGCAGGACAGTCGGGGGACAGTGGTGCCCCAGCCATTCACTGACTCGCTGTCAACCCTCAAACGATAATCGTGGACAACAGTGCACCAGTCACGTATTCTTAAAAGTTTAAACATCTCTAAATATCAGGTGTCTGCATCAGTACTGTGGGCCACATCCTGCACGGCCTTGCGGACGCCACCAGCGCTCCGCAGAACGCGGCGTGATAACTTTTGTATTGGGGGGGGAGGGGGGATTAAGAAAAGTACAAATTCAAATACCTCGATTGTGATGACGATTTCTTATATTGCAATGCTTTGGGATTTTCTACGCCACCAAAAGTATTTGTTCAGTATGGCCTTTTTTCATATCAAGTTATTGTCCATTGTTGAACAACACCGCATTGTTGACCAACGCGTGAGCGATGGCCGGTATGTATGTATGTTAAACTTCTTTCGCCGCGTACATAGCCTACCATACTAATCGGGTGTGTGGGCGATGCCTGCAGCGGCAGTACAACGTGCACCACACGTGCAACAGATGCACTGCGCGTCGAAGTAAATAACCACCCTGTCAGTGTGTGCGACATGGCTGTCATTACGAGCACTTGTGGATACAGCATTCATTATCTCCCCCCTGTCAACGAGTCAGTTACTCGCACCATGGACATTGCGCTCGCTTTAGGTGGGTAATGTCTATTTCAAGAGTTCAGGCAGAGAAATGATTTTGACCATGTGAGTGTGGTAGGCATAGTGGTTTAAATAGAGGGGGGGGGGTGGGTGTATGTACATGCGATGTCTGTTGCATTCTCGTCTGTTTGTGCATCTGGTTTTGAGCACGAGTCTGCATGTGTTTTACTTGGACTTGCATCTATTTATTTGCATTGGCGTGTGTCCTCGTTTATTGTTTTATTTTCATCCATCTGTTTGCATAGGTGTTTCATCCTTCTGTGCGTGCATTTTATTCGCATGTGCCTGTGTGTGTCAGATGCGTTATGGGGAGCAGTGGGACAGTTCTGAGCACACTGCGCTAATAACCAGGCGATCAGAGGGTCATTCCCGAGCACGGCCAACATTGGTAATGAACAACTAAATTGTGCCTCTCGAGCGAGGGCCAATCAGCCGTGAATGAGTAACTGTTGCAGTGTGTAAACATCAGCGCTGGGGAGACGAAGGCGGCTGGGTGTGTGGCGCTGAGCACACCACCCGTGCTCGCAAACAGCACTTGCCCCAACAGTCTAAAGCTATACGGGGGAATCTCTTGTCTTTTGTGCAAGGTGTGAGATGCGGCAGGTGTGGCACAGGGCCGGGCCGGGCCTGGCTCCCTCTCTGCTGGGCGGCTGCTGCTCGCGCTTCGTGCCGGAGTTCGTGCTGCAGGGCCTGAGCTGCTCGCGCGACGCGGCCGTCGAGCAGATCCGCCGCGGCCTGCAGCAAGCCCTCTCCGTAAGCCTCTCCGTGTGGCACGGTGTCGCAACCACACCTTTTTTAGAGGTCGGCGTGTCCGACCTCGTAGTTGTTTCCCAGCGGTTACCGGCAAGCTGATGATCCACCGGCCCGAGCCAGGCCTGCGACGAAAGTTCACACGAGCAACGTTTAAACTACCCGTGGCGATGCGAAGTTTCCCGACCTGGTGCCGTGTGGCTCCGCGCGGCGTCTCTCCGCGCCCGCCGTAGGCTTGCGCGCCAGACCGGCCGCCACAGCGGACGCTGTGCCTGCTCGCCGACCTGGACCAGCGCTCCGTGCGGCTCCTCGCCGCGCAGCCCCTCTTCCCCCCGCAGGACGAGGCCCCCACGGCCGGGCCGCCCTCCGTGGCCGGCCAGGAGGGGCGGCCGCTGCCGTCGCCGACGTCTTTGCCACGCGTGCAGAAAGAGCGGCGCCTGGTGGAGAGCGACGACGTGCGGCCGTCCGGCCTCGTGCGCGAAATCCTCCACTCCACGCTGCAGCTCTGGAAGATGCGGCTCTCCGCGGACTTTGTGAGCGCTTGGTGCAGGGTGTTGGGGCTGTGTAAGGCTGGGGCTGTCCCTCGGGTGAATCGCAGAGTTGTGATATTGGAACGATTGTACCAACGATTGGTTGACAAGGCCACGTTCTATGTTTTCAGTCGATCGAAACGGAGCTATGCAATTAATTTCCCAGGAAAGATTCAGCGTTACGTCGGTGTGAGTATTCGTTCGCGGCGCCAGCATCGGTTCGAGCAAGACTGGCTGCTGAAGAGACGCTGGACAATTCTCACAATGCTGCTGAAAGTATGCACTCCGAGAAAGTCCGTGTAGCTGATGGGATGTGTCACAAAATATAGACATGGAGGGATAGGAAAAAGGAGGCATTTATGGCTGCTGGTTTATTTTCAACTCGTGAATAAGCCCACCCAGGTGTGCTCCACTCACTGTGCCAGGTATTGGCATCGAGCTGTGCGCTTACTTCACCGGGAGCTCGGGACAATTGGCATCCAGAAGCCGTCCACTCTGCATTATTATTAATTCCATACGTGACGTTGAGGCTTTCCTGGATGACGGTAACCCGCCGCGCGCTCGTCCGCCCCCGCAGTGCATGATGCACCTGGAGGACCGGTTGCGGGAGCTGTGCCGTCGGAGTGAGGCCCTGGCCCTTTGCGCCAGCCCGGACGCCCCCGGCCTGGAAGCCATCGCTGCCGCTCTCGGGTAAGACTGCCCCCCCCCCCCCCCCCCCCCCCCCCCCCCCCCCCCCCCCCCCCCGGCTGTGATCCACCGCACGCTCGGAGCCCCGCAGGAGTCGAGGCCGAAGCGGGTCGTCGTGATGCGCGTTGTTTACTCTCGCGCTATCGCATCTGCGGGGTGGGGCATCCGGATGCCCCCTCCCACCTCGCTCCATCGGATAGAACTCTTAGTAGAGCAGGGGCGGGTGGATTGATCCGGCATTGGCTGGTTTGCTCCATTACTCGCTCGCCACTGGGCAGTCGCCTCATCACTCTGCTGTCGCTGATACCGTGGTTACCCTTCTCGTGAGCTTACCTCATTGATTCCTCCACACATGCTTGAACTGTCTTAACGAACTGTTTTGCCTCCTCCACACTGTTCAACGACCACCCTGCAGGTCATAACAACGCACTCGCCCACCATCTCACTCAACCACGTGCCCGCTCACCACACTTCATTGGAAATTCCCCCCCCCCCCCTCGCCCTCGTCACCATCTGTTGCTGGCTTTTTAATGTTTTGGGCCTTTGGGCCCTGTGCTCAACAACTGTTAAAAACCAAACGAAAAAGCACTGCTGTCAATGTCCGGATTATGAAATGACGATAACTCTTTTCCTTTTGCCATTTCCACCTCCCCCCGCCCCGCACTGTGGTACCTGGTGAAATTTGAATGCTTACACCAGCAATCGTATGAAAAGGCCACATTCTCTGACTCTGTCCGAGGTAGATGAATCCTGGCATTTTAAAAGTATCAAGGCCGCCAGCAGTCACCGGTACTTCATAGTGTAACACTGGGGCCCGATTATTCAATACCCAGACCTAATTTTGTGAATCGTGGACCAGCATAGAGACAGACGTGCAACCACAGCCTGTTGCAGTGAATGCTCACAATAAATTCACTAAAGTACGCACAGGAAATATTAATCTCCACTTTTGATCCAATGCCTCAGTGGTAGAGGTGGGTGGTGGCCGTGGTGGTGGTGGTGAGTGTGCCAGGTGAAAGAAGTCCGGTGGGTGTTGTGACCGTGGTGGTGAGCGTCTGTGGGGAGGGGTAGTGGTGGCGGTTAGCGTGCTGCACTACGAACCCAGCGACCCGAGTTCGATTCTTGAGTTCGGCCAACACCGGTGACGATTATTTTAACCGGTTCTGGGCCTCCCCGAGATCAACACTGCCTCCAAAGAGTACCTGCTGTGGTGTGTAAAACATCGCCACTAGGGAAACAAAGGCCGCCGGGCGTGGTACGGGGCCACTCGCCCTCTCGTGTGCGGTGCCAGCCTTCGTAGGTGCTCGCTAGCAGCACCTATGCCCCAACAGTCTGTTAAGGCAACGCAGGGGGGGTGGGATCTTTGTCTTGAGCGTCATGTGTCCCCACCACAGGGGCGACTCGAGCGACGTGGGACTGCTGGCAGCCGTGGCGACGGCCCTCCCCAAGCCTCCGTTCGTCACGTGACTCCTGGGCAACGCTGCTGCACAGCCACGTGCTCGCTTGCACTACAGCGTCCCAGGTGCAGCGACTGCTGCTGGCTGCTTGCCACTTCCGGTCCGGATCGCAGCCTGCATTGGTCACCTCCTGGTTAAGGCTTTGACGAATTCTCGTTACATTCCGAAAACGTTAACTTATGGTACCCTTGGACTGGGTGTTCGTGCCGTGTGGCGAGTCTTAATCTCGGTTGTCGCCACATGGTTCATGCTGCCTCGAACGGGTAGTCGTGTCGTGCAGAAACCGCTCTTTGAACAGAGAAGCGTTAACGTGATGATATGAAACCCAAAGTACGCATTACAGCTCCGAGCATTAGCACGAGCGTTGAGGTTTCCAGATGCAGTATCTAATGAGCTGCCTATGCTATTGTTTCGCTTGTTCACCTTGTCGCTGCAAGGAGGCATCCCCCTTCAGCAGTGAGGATCAACATCAAGCCACTTCCCGTCTCTTTGGAGCAACACCGCCTTGAGCAACGCTTCCACTTAACATCCAAACTTATGCCGCGAAACCTTCACAGGGCGAAGACCCGCTGTCTGACCCGATGCATTTTTGTAGTTCGGAGACGCTTTGCAACTTCACAAATGTCTTAATGCTGGAAACCCCCCTCCCCCACCATACACTGCACCGTGACTCGTACGTAGGAGTTGAAGCGCCGTTTGTTTACTGCAGCGCGCGGTGGCCTCTCATCAGAACCCTTGGCAAGTGAGTGCCCCGCTACGTGGGCGCTCGCTGTCAAACCCCGCACCCACGCATCCCCCTGCTCTGCCAGGATACGATGCCCGTGGCCGCTCTCGGCCTTTGTCGTGTTGCTCCGCTCACTCCCTTCGATTTTTTTTTTGACGAAGGGGCTGGGTGGAACTGTTTTTACCAAGCGTAGAAATACCCTGCAGCTCCCGTGTGGAGCCCATTCCATTCAGAAGTTCAGTTAACGACCCCCCCCCCCCCGCCTCGGCCTCTGCCTCCGCCTCCATGACTCTGCTGCCGCTATGGGTTTCATGCCCAATCACCACGGGCGTGTCGCTCGCGGTAGAGACTATTCCATCCAACCTCGGCGAGACCATCGTAGCGAATACTGCATCCATAGTTGTGCTATGGGTTTCATGCCCAATCATCACGGGTGTGTCGCTCGCGGTAGAGACTATTCCATCCAACCTCGGCGAGACCATCGTAGCGAATACTGCATCCATAGTTGTGCACAACGTTCAAAAGGCATGCGGAAATTTAAAAGAGTCTTCTACAAACTCCACAATTCAACCTTTTTAAGCTTGCGTAGTACTTCAATTATAACTGCGTGAGAGTCCACCGAGACGAGATTGCTTTGCACGGGAAACCAAAAACCCACATTTCTCTCTGCAGGCCCGGCACGATTCTCTCTGCAAATTCACAACTCTCCCTCCAAACAAAACATACGAGTCTTTCAAATTCTCTGGAGAACTCTTATTCCTAAACCATGGAATGCCGAACAAAGTCAAGAATATTTTTTTTAAATCCTTATTCTCCACCCGAGGTTATATTATAATGCTCTACAAAGGCGAGGAATGTTCTCCAATGTGAATGGCAATACCTCTGCAAGTAACTCGTCACTCCTCCTTCCCCAAATAAACCGCTTGGGGTTTGGTAGGATTTACTGTGGAAATTAAAACACCGCTCGCCCGGCTGTAACAGCAGCCGTAGCAGCAGCGCGTGACTGGGCCCAGTCGCGGGGGCTTTATTTGTGCATTGTCTTGACAGCGACAGCCTTGGTTTACGCTCTTGTGCGTGTGTGTTGGCGCCACGGGTTTTCTTTTTAAGAAAATACTTAAATAAGAAATAACTTGTCAACTCTTCATCAAAACACTGCATCCTGCCAAAAGATAAATAATTAAACATTCATTCTCACTTTGGACGTTCGCTCACTTGCCACAGCCAAGGGAACGCATTCCAATGCCGCATGCACGCACGCACTCGTGTGTGTGTGTGTGTCAAATTGCACCTCTGCGCAGCCCTTCGATCATTGCAGGTTTTTGTGCCTCGGGCCAGCGGTGGACTCTTGCCACATTTTTTGTAGAGCTGCCCGTGAGGATTTCCATTGAGGCTCTTTGGTTTTTCTCACAGAGTCCCCCGTCATGTTACCGGTATACCCATGTCGCGTATTGACAAGAATGAGCTGTCGGGTTGCATCCTCGTGTAATGGCCCTCCGTGTTCTCGAGGCTTCCCCTTTAGAAGGCGACATCTGAACGCTCCTTGCCGGCTGCCGTTGTGCGCGCTCAGCTCTGCGGGTGGAGAAGTCTCGCGGCTTACGTTCGTTTGCGAGGCACAAAGGAAACGTGGTGGCTCCTGGAGTCTCAATTTAAATGTTCTTGGGTTCATAGCCTCGAGAATTCTCGGAACTGATCGTATAACAAGCTCTGCTCCTCTTATCCTTCGACTATCATGATCCAGTTGAGAAGAGAAATACAACATTTCTATGGTTTCTTCAAAGCTCGTCTTTTGATCTAACTTCCAGCAATAAAAAAGTGGTGGTACTGAGAGTTTTGCGCCACTCGGCTGATGCAGAATTAACCTATGCTGCAGCAAAGCCCCTTGCGTGTTCCACGGCCGTCAACGGCAACATGACGTCGTCTGTGAATGTGAACGACCGCGCCTTTTGCTTGCGCGCGTGTTTGTGTCGTTTGGTTAACAGCGCTTGGCCCGGACACTGCGGGGCACAACCTTCGCAAAGGTAACAACATTTGGCTGCCCGACCCTTTTTCGTATTTTTCACCCGTGTTTTTCAGGACCACTAGAAAATGAGCCTACTCTGGTGTCGTGGATGAGCGAGCCCAGCCAGGCTTCCTTCCCTCTGTGGCCCTGGTTGGGCTGCCTGCGGGGCGCCACTTGCACCCCTCACTCGATTTTAAATTTAAGGGCCGCGTGCTTCTTGTGCAGATGTGACAACGCAGTGCGCGATTTTGGCATTGGTGACGCACGGTCGTCCATTGGTTCGGAAAGAAATGGCCATGACTGATTAATTTCATGAGCATTTACGTGGTCAACGTGTACCACAGCTCCTCGCCCTCTTCTCGTTTTGCATTGCCTTTGACGGGCGACCTGTCAAGAGTTTCAGTTGCAAGCGAGTTAGCCATCCAATGGGTTTGTTCACCCGAACATCTCCATCTGATACGTGAACACGGGCATCGCCAAGGGTTCTGGTGGCAGCAATATCCGCCGCATCTGTTTGGTGAGGCCGGTTTGTGGTAACAACCTGTGGAGAATTGCATTTGCCAGGAAGCGTTCGATGCCTGGGACAGTCATCGCAGTGTTGTTTATCTGTGCATTGCCAGCCGTTGGGTTATCGCTCTCCCTTTTGTTTACGTGGCTTAGTTTTGTTTACATTGTTTGCTGCTATGTTATGAACCAACGTTGCCATTGTTCTCCAGGGTGTCTTAAACTGCAAGCCTAATGATTTCAAAGCTCGGGGTTTTACACAATTTCGAAATTCGGTCTTGAGCCTAAAAATGACCACGTTTAATATATATTTAATAAAAATGTCCCCGTCACTTCCATCTATAAAGTAGCTCACAGGGACGTGTGTGGAGGGCTTTGATTGTGGGGGGGGGCGGGGGGGAAACGACCTTCACAACGGTCCTGGACGAGCTCCCGCCGCCCGGCACCGTCGCCTCCTACAAAAGGCCACAGTAGCGGCACCACAGCCAACCCAGACGCTGACGTCAGCTCGGCCACCCATCTTGCATGGTTCCCTCCGAGGGTGGAGGACCGTCCCGCTGCGGTCGACGGTTCAACGGGGGAGGGGGGGGCAGGAGGCCACTTTCTGGGGAAGCGGTCCCGAGTTTTACCACTGCACGCTGGTTTACGTCGTGTTACATGGAGCAAAGCATGCAGATACCACTTCGTTATTTTGAAGGACAATGGCTGATTTGAACACTAACATTCGTCACCAAAAGCCCAATTAAATGTTTTACCTATTATACTGAAAGTACAATATTTCAGCTCTATATGCTCCGTCAGAAATAAGTTAAGTGAACAAATGCTTGATATTACCTTTTATTGTAATGGACACAATTGTACAGCATTAACTAAAGTTTCACAAACGGCGTGCATGAAGGAGGAGTGATGGTTCAGCAGTTCACTCGCTGCGTTTAGCATCATGGCCTCCTGGGTGCAACTCTTGGCCAGGATGCACATCACCAGTTGTGAATGAAATTCTGACCGTAGCCTGAACCTCCCATAGGTCAAAGGCAGTGATGTACTCATTTGGAGCATTGAGGCGCCCCCCGTTTACAGCCCTGAACCAGTGGTGGAAATTCCACATTCCTATGGCGGGGACGAGTCTACACATAGGACAAGCACTCGCAGAGTGGTACTCGTGTTATCGACCCCAGAGAGATGATGGACCCAGTCGGCTACGAACCAGGGCTTTAACTCAACCTTCCCACGGCGAGCCGCTCGCTCTGCTGCTGAGCCGCTATGGATCAGCTCCGTCAAAAACGAGTGCCTATTGTGAACCTAAGTTGGTGATCGTTAGCACTGGGAAGACTAAGGAAGGCAGGTGAGGCTCGTGTTCGCCTTTTCACTGCCTCGTGCCCGATACCGTCTTCGGTGTATGCTCTCTAATGGCACTGTAAACGTTAAACCGTGGCGGTGATCATCTTGTGTGCACGTTGTGCTGTGTCCATGAATGTAGAACACCAAATGGACACGCAACAAGTGGAGAACGTTCTTTGCAGTGCCTGAATTTAAGACGTAAATAGCCCCTCCCTCCCTTTGCAAAAATGAACGCGTGGGTTTCAACAATTGTTCGGCCCTCGGGCCCTATCCTGTCGAGCTATGTGTGTGGTGGCAACCGAGAGTTGTGGCGTTTGAAGTCGTTTCCTCACGTCTGCAATATAAAATACCTTGAATAGGTGCTGCTGAAGTTTGCGGTTTTCCCCAAATGCCCTGGGCCTGTTTTTTTAATTTAATCACGAGCGAGTCTTATCTAATGCGTTGCTCGTGTTTTGGGATTTGCTGGTAATTATGCTTTAATTTAATAATTTCTGTGTGCTAAATTGCACTCTAATAAGCCACTCTCCCTCCTGTTGTCCAGTTGGGTGTATTTTTAGAAGCCATAAAAACAGCTTTGGACGTCTCTTAAGTCGACTTGCAGTATTTGCACTTAAGTTGGAGCAGTGTCGTTGGACAGAGTAATTTCGCAGTTGGTACAATTACGTTCATAAAAAATATAGATTGTAAAAAGTAACAGACTGATGCAAATGCATTACATGCGAGTGCTTTTAGTGCCAAGTGCATCCATAGTCATCTCTGTGAAGTGATTTCTGTCCGTAACAATCAGCCGACCCAAAGTGCTGTCGTTTTTAAAATAATGTGCGCAATCCACATGCCGCGTGAATTTATTAACTTGTAAAGCCTTCGCATTTTCTGTCTGCAGTTCGCTGTGAAAGCACACTATTGTATGATTACTCTTTATATTTACAACTGACCTGTCTGTAACTAAAGCATGGTGCTTTATTATGAAATCCTACCATTTTAACGGTTTGTACGGCAAATGTTTTTTTTGTCGCAATTCCAGGCTCGTAATTACCCAGAGGCGTTGGGCAGCCACTCTTTTTCAAGTCGCATTTTGCAGCGACTCGCCGTGAGGTTTGTGAAATCTGTCAAGGCTCTGGCGTCTACATGCGAAGAGTATCCCAACTCCCCCCCCCCCCCCCCCCCCCCCCCCCCTAACGGGCAGACATGTCGCTACGATTAACTTTGTGCGAGGGGAAAATACATCTTATTTAAAAATGGTAAGGGGCAGGGGCGGAGCCAGGATTTCAGGTCGGGGTGACATTCAACAAATTTTAATTTCAAGAATGATTAGAGAGTCAGGCTGTTGAACTAGACGCCATCGGTTGGCGACACACTCTGACAACGCAGTTGCACGGAGTCCGCCAGACCGAGTGTCGCACACTTATACTCAGAATGTCACCCCTGTCACCCCCCCCCCCCCCACCGGCTCCGCCCATGGTAAGGGGGGGGGCGCAAATGTGCGTCGTACTACGGTGTCGGGGTTTCGGGGAGTAAGAGTTCATGCGGTAACAATGCAGACGTGGGAGATGCGAGGTGGGTAAGGGTGCGACGTGCATTATAATATTTATTAACATAATTGCAGTTTCAAGCTTACAATGGGGGAGGGGCAGGGCAGGGGAACTCTTCCCCGGGGAGGGGGGGGGGGCACAAGAACCGCTCCCAAACCTCGCAGCCAGCGCCACGAGAGCGCTGCTTGCGCCCGGGTTGGGTCGGGAGGGCCCTGCGGGGCGAGGTGCCTCTTGCACGGCGGAGGAGAGGCCGAACTCGCGCGGTTCGCTTGCAGCGCTTTTCTAGCAACCGCAATACCGGATGTTGAGTACCGTGAATTGTTTTATTTTAATACTGTGGGGTTTTTTTTGGAATAAAGTACAACGGTTTACATGGCTTTTGTGCACGTGTTCCCTGCTTTAACAAAGAAGTTGCGATTCCCGCTACTGAGACCGCTCTCCTTTGTGAAATTGTGTCTGCGGTCTTTTTTGTATTGGACATGGGCTACGTTTGCGGTATATTTGCATTCCGAGTAAATATTTTCCCCATCCCTGCCATGTCCGTGCATGCCATCGTGCCCCAGTTCCCAATGCACCCGGATCGGCCAAATGATTGGGGGGGGGGGGGGTAGGGTTTGGTTTTAACGCACGACTCATTTGCCCAACGGATGGACGCGGTCTCCTGTGTTTTTAAAGCACATCAGCTCATGTGTGTCGGGCCTATGGCCCAACAACCCGATAAATCACCCGATCTCGTCAAATTTCATAAGCTAAGCAGGTTTGAGTCTGGACGAGTGAGTGCATGGGGCGCTCACCGCCGAGAAGTGGAATAGATATACCGTACGCTGCTGCTGCAGGGCTACATCGCCAGCAGAGGGCAGTGCTGCAAAGTCCGTTGTTGTACTGTGCTCTCTCCGTCTGTTCACCCCGCACAGACCAGCTTGGCAAAATACCATGAAATAGCCCTCCTTCCGCCATAGCAGCAGCGGAGGAAGGCCCTCAATCCCGCATCAAATAAGATATCGTATTCTGAAGACCACACAGACCTTGCGGGGCCACGTGACTGGAGAGGAAATCTTCGGGGGGGTGACGATGGACTTTGAGGAGAGAGTCTGCCCTGATAAGAGCGGCCTCCTTGGCCTGGTCAGATCAAGGGTGAGAATCAACACCCCCACCTCACCCCCTTGGCGCACGCTGGCGACCCAAAACTGCACCGTGAACCCCGTGACGGCAAGAACAAAATCACTGCGGGCAAACATAAACTTTGAGCAGTGCATAGATGGAGCTGCGATGAGAGGGCACCGCACGAAAGTGTGGCACCTTTTTGATGTCTCTCATTGTCTCCTCCCTCCGTGTGCGGGTGATGGGGAGCAGTGTACCCCAAGGTTGCTGAATTACGCCGTCTCTCTCTCTGTGTGTGTGCGCATGAGAATTTGGTCCATGTCGGCCCTGAGAATGGCTGTGAGAAAACTGCAGCTATTTTTTCTCTTTCGTTTCAATGAAAGAGGATTTTGATCGGGTCTGTGGGGCGGGGGGGGGGGGGCTTGGGGATTCCCCCCTTCAATGGAATGCACAAATAAATAAGTAATCGTCTCCCAACGACGGCTCGGGAGCAACTTGCCCAGCCAAGCCTGGATCGAGCTTTTTTTCCCCAACGATTTTACTGAACTTGATCTCTGCGTCGTGCTCAAATCTTGTTATCAAAAGTTTGTCTACTTCCTGTTGTCCAATTAATTCAAAATTTTGCACGCGTACTCGGATGCGGTGACAACGCATGCCTGTGTTAAAATCGGCATCAATTCATAAATGTATTGCCTCCTTTCAAGCAATTTAAAAAAATTTGTATGGACGCGCTTATTATTTATATATATATTTTGTGTGTAGGTCAAAAACGCCGCGGTCCGCAAACTGTGGAATCGCCTCGCACAAAACGCAGGCGCCGCGTGTCTCGGGCGCAATTTGACGCTCATCTCGACCGTGAGTTAAACGAAGTTGTTAATAAAACCATTGTTGGTAAAAAAAAAAGACTTTTGTAAAGCAGTTTCTTTACATCAAGTTTGGCGAAACACACTTGGGACAACTTGCTGGTTAAATTTTGATTTAAAGCTTTCGTGACTGCAGTAATTCATATTCTTAGCTCTTTCGGTAAAGTCACGTTGAAGGGAAACAATAAAATGTTGTTTATATATGTGTTTATATATTTTATTATTTTATTGTTTCCCTTCAACGTGACTTTACCGAAAGAGCTAAGAATATAACTTTCTGGTTGTCCCAAGTGTGTTTCGCCAAACCGCCTGGTCCGACACTGCCCCTGGGGCACACTTGGGACAACTTTGCCCCAGGGGCAGTGTCGGACCACGCGATTCGCCGTGGCCACGTTTGACCTGCCAACCTCGCGCAAGTTCGGCTGTTAGAGGCGGACGCGCGTCGAGAACAAACGGAGACGGCGGGGCGGGATCTGAAGACACCGGTGGGCTAAAGTGGTGGTGAACACCTTTTTACTGATTGGCCGTGTCGGGTGGTGGAGGGTTGCGACACATTTATAAATAACGCCATCAAAACCCAAAAAAATATTCATTTTGAATCGTACTTGTCGCGAAAGCCTTCGTGTTCAACGGAGATCTGAAGAGTATCAGCGGCGTACCTGTGTGTGTGTATGTTTAACTTATTTCAGTTTCATTTATTTGGTATTAGCTGTACTACCCGGCTTCGCTCGGGACTTGGATTCACCAAACAGTTACTCGTTTGAGGCTGAGTCGACCTAGGGGAGGCCCAGGACCGGTTAAACTAATCGTCACCGGTGGTGGTCGTGAGTGGGAATCGAACTCGGGTCGCCGGGTTCGTAGCGCAGCGCGCTCACCACTACACTACAATGCGTTACGCTTCAACACAACAACAACCGCCATTCACCACTAAGTGGCGGTGACGTCACCACGACGCTTGTGCCAGGCTATGTGCACCTTGAGGCCACGTGAAGTGTCGAACGCCCGCTGGCAGGAGGTCACGGGGCAGACCCAGGTGCCACGGGTCGACTGACTGAGATGACTGGCTGATGCACCACCTGTACCCCCTACTGTGCCACCCTGCTGTGCCTTAGGCACCCGGCGCTCCGCTCGTTGTTGTGAGCGTCGCTCCTCCGCCCTCCGTTGTTGGAAGGCGACTACCTCCAACTGCCTAGTAGCGTCCTTCACGAGCCTCCTCCACAGAGGCCGATGTTGACACCGCTGGTACCAGTCATCGGCAAGTCCACTCAGCTCCACGTCCTCCTGTACCACATCACTC